TGGTCCCCGATCGAGTAATCAAAGTCAATATTTGTATTTAAAATGCCAATAAATCAATTTCAAGTTTACCTTTCAAATAAAAATAAAATAAAATTATTTAATCAAGACACCAATCTAGTTCGTACAATTATTTGCTTAAACTTTATTTTATTTAATTAATTAATAAAGAAAAAAAGAAAATAGACGAACGTGCCACAGAGGCGCGTGGGTTAGGTTAGTATGATCTTGAATGAAAATATATATTAAATGAGTTAAGAAATCAAAAGACAATCAGTTCCAAGTAAATCTTTATTATTAATATACATATATATTTATTTATATAATTAATTTCAAATCAGTGACCAAAAGCCAAGAATATAAATATAATATCGAGAAAAGATTTGATCAAAGTTGTCCTAACGAGATACAACACTCTATTAAATTCCCCCAACACACACACACACACACACATATACATACACAAATACACACACACATATATATATATATATATGATATATAAAATCTACACACTATCTGATACAGCGATGCAATAATTAGTGAGTGCAAAAGTGTGTGTGTTGACAGCTTAAAAGAGGTAATCAGAAAATCTCACCGATTCCATTTCCAATATTATTTTCTTCACCAAGAACACACACAGTTACACACAGTAGAAGGTGTAGAGAGAGAAAGATGGGAAGCAATTACTATGGAGATGGAGGGTTGTCTTCAACAACATCATCAAGAAAGGGTAAAAAGGGAAATAACAATAATAATTCAGACAAGCCGAAGCAGCCGCAGAGAGGGCTCGGCGTGGCTCAGCTTGAAAAAATTAGGTTACACACTCAGCTCGGCTGCACTACTTATCTTCCTCCTCCCTCTCTTCATCACAATTTTCCCCCCAGTTTTAATCAGGTATGTATATATATATATATATACATAAATATATTGGTGATCTTTTTTTTTTTTTTTTAATTAATTAATTAATTAATTTGGTGATTAATTAATTAAATTGAAGGAGGAAATAAGACTGCAAACAGCATATCCTTCACAATCTTCAACTCCTTATGGCTATCAATCCTCCCATGGTGTTATGGTATGATTAATTTTATTTTTTTTCTTAATTAATTAAGTTAATTATTAATCAAGAAAAAAATAATTAGATCGAGGGGCGTTGACTGATGAAATTAAGGTTGCAAGAATTTTAATTTTAAAAGAGTGAAGATTCAGTTTTTTGTGATGCTTGTATTAATAATTATGTAGTAATAATTTTTCTGATCCGTACAGATTTTTTCTAGGCATGCATGTTTTTTTGATCCTATATGTAAACCCTAGCTTCATCATACTCAGAATGTTTTTTGAAAAAATGTATATTTATATTTTTTTTATTTTAATTTATATCAAAATATGATGCTAATTAACCTGTTTTATGGGATTTATTTTATTACAACATCTGTTGGATAAATTGAAAAGAAAGGCTACAACATCTGTTGATTTCATGTGCTTAATTAGTTGCTCATTTATTTGTTCGATTAATCTGAAAAAACTGCGATATACTAACTGTCGTAAACGTGTTCGTTTTTTTTTTCGTATTACAGATGGGGTTGTCGGATTTAGATAGGACGACGATAAGATACGAAGATCATGCGCATTCCAGCACTATTAATCCAAGGTGAGTTTTATTTGATGATTATATGATGATATATAATAAATATAACTAATGTAATTAATTTGATAAATTCTTGATTTTTTCGCTTATGATAAAAACCAGATGGCATCAGGGAAATAATCAACATTTTCCAGAGCCAATCATTACTCGGCCCTTCTTTGATCCCATTGTTGAGGTATAGATACATACATACATATAAAAATTACACACACTTACACGCACTAGAAGGTGTACTTGGAAAATGATTTTAACTTGATGTTATATATTGATCATGTACATGTAGGGATCGATCAGGAACCGAAACAAGAACGACAGGAACGAGAATCGGGAATCTAGGAGCTCCGAAGAGATAGATTTGGAGCTCAGACTCTCACTTTAAACTATATTTATTTTATTTTTATATATATAAATAATCTTGATTATTGCAACCTAGTTTGTTGATTTAAATTCCTACTTGTGCTTGTAAGTTGAGCATATATCAATGTTTTAATTAGTATCAAAGATTAATTAGAAAAAAAAATTATCTGCACAGGTTTCAAGAAACACATGCATCATGTACTGAGGTATAGTTCAAAAAATTGCAACTGTGTTGAATTTATTTTCTGATGATTGCACTTAATTTTTATATATAGCCAATATGCAGTAAAATTTTAGAAAATATATATAATGTTGCATTTAGTTTAAAGCTAAGTCCCTCAACTATAATTTAATTAGCAATAAGGAGTGACGATTTTTATTTTTGTTTCGATAAAAGTATCTCGCTCATTCATTGCGAGCGCCTCGATCCTGTATCGCAAAGTTGTATGAGATTTATGTAACAACTTAGGCTAAAAAGATAATTTCTTTATATAATGCATAACGAGAAACCGTATGTAGAAAACAATTGAACCGAAAAATCGGGTTGGCATTACAAAATCGGATTATTTTTTGTTGCATTTATTTTTAAAATCTATTGTAGATCAATGAATGTCCCGCAAGAATGGTCTAGCGGTTGAAAAAAGTGACTCAGATTTGAATTCCGTTAGCCCTATAAAGTATAAATGATCGTTGCAACATGCGCACCAAAATATATTTGGAACTCAATAGTAATCAACAACTTGGCCAAGTACCAAATTTTAAATGAATAAATAGAGTTTATAAGTATGTGTACTAAATACTAATCTATCACCAACACCGAGATCCACATCGAGTTAAGACTAAACTGAATTTTTAATCACCTAAATTTGATAAGAAAATAAAATAAGAAAAAAGTCGATGTGATGTGACAAAATATTTAGACTAAAATGATATTTAAAAAAAGAATAGTGGGACAAAATAGAAAATGTCCACCAATAGGAGTCGCTCTCGTGTAGCAATGCTGACAGTTAGTGGAGATTTTGTAAATGCTACACTCGGTAAAATATATGAAGTGATCATGCGTTATTAATCTGCACATAATAACACACAAAGACACACATATGTGTATATGTATGTTTAGTGGGTAGTTATTTAAACAAATTTATGATGTAATTATCCGTTGCTTTTCAACATACGTAACATTTCATAGACCGTTATGGAACTAAGTTGTTGTAATTAAATATTTTTTTGAAAGTAGACCAATGATTTGTTTATAACGTAAGTCTAGACAGTTTCATCTCATATATTTCACTGAATGTAGCATTAAATAAGTCGTCGAGGCTGATGGAGCCGCTTTACATGCGGCAACACGAACAATATTTGCAACACGAACAATATTTGCCATTAAATTGGAGTTTTTCACGCTAAAAGCAAAAAAACCCACATTTTCTTTGATTGGACGATATTAGGCTAGAGAACTTTAAGTTGATCAAGAAAGAATAAAAGAAAAAATAAAAAGTTTAATCATTAATTATTAAGATAATTAACTAAATTAAGTTATTTTGCACGAAAAATATGTTTTGGGACCCGGATGCTAACAAACTCCGTATGATTTATACGATTGACATGTATTAATTAGTAATATAAATAAATCATTATTTAAATGGTAAATTGCAGCAACCCCTGAGGTAATGTTAAATTACGAAAATATCCCTCTTGTTTGGGTAATTACATTCATCCGCTTAAATATGAATTTTATTGCACGTCCATCTTTGCGATGTTGAATTTAGTGGAATCTTTTATATTATGTGCATGTTCTCCACTTTGTACACGTTTTACTCAATTCGAACTCCACATTTTTATCCAATATGATCATAAAACATGTCTCTTAGCTTGAAAATATCAGGTTGTAGTGCATCAAAAATTGTATATTTGCACAAAACAAGTACAAACTAGAGAACATTCAACGGAATCTAGAAGGATGGACATGTAATTATCCAAACATGAGGGACTTTTTCGTAATTTAAACTTATCTCAGGGGTTGACCGTAATTTTCCCTAATTGAAAATGGGAAGAAAACCAAAAAAAAGTTATGTCCCCACATGCAAACTTTCCATTTTTAGCCCTTACACAAAAATTTCCAGCTTATAAAAACCAAACCTGTACAAAGAAAAAAACAAACCACAGAGAAAAACCAGAAACAAGGTCCGCCGTTGAAGAATGGAAACTTCTTCAATGGCCAGCTTGTGGAAATCTCTCGTCGTCGTTCTACTCTTCTCCGGCTACATCGCCGCCGCCGCTGCCACCGCCGACGGCAATGGAACCGAGGAGACCCAACGTCCGCCCATCCACCAGGTCGGCAGATTTGGATTCGGCTTCCTTTTCCCCTGGAATCCGCAGCCATCGCCGGTGCCGCAGTTTCCCGGCGTCGGATTCGGAGGAGAAGCCCCACCGGAGAACGGCGGCGATGAGTCCGGCGCCCAGACAAATTTCCTGGGATCTTGGAAGATCCATTCCGAGAATGCCGGAGTTTCCGCCATGCATATACAGTTGATGCCCAATAACAACAAGGCGGTGTGGTACGATTCTACCGGCAATGGGTTGTCGGAGATCGAGAGTAACCCGCCGGTGTGCAGAAAACGGGTCGGCGGCAGGGATTCGGATCCTCCACAGGATTGCACCGCCCATGCAATTGAATACGACATTGACACTGCTCAAATCAGAACCCTAAACGTAACGCTCATTTTTCTTTTTTTATTTTCTTTTCCATCTATCTTGGTTAATTTTAATATTTTCATGCACACAACAAATTTTATTGCATGCATGCATGAATAAAATAATAGGGTAAATTACAACCAGCCCCCAGGTATGGTCAAATTATGAAAAAAACCTCTTACCTCGTGTTTTGATAATTACAATTACCCCTCAACTATGAATATTATTACACGTTCATCCTTATGATGTCAAATTCAACAGAATCTTTTAGATCCCGTGTAATGTCTTCTAGTTTATACTCATTTTGTACCAAAATGCAGTTTTTGATGCACCACAATGAGATATATATGTATAAGCCAAAGAAATAGATATGATCATCTTGCTTCAAAATGTAGAGCTCGAATGGGATAAAACGGGTATAAAATTGAGAACATTCCAAATAATATAGAAGATTCTACTAAACTTTGATAATGCAAGGCTGGACGTATAAGAAGATTTATAGTTGAGAGGTGATTGTAATTACTCAAACATGAGGGAGTTTTTCAAACTTTTACTATACCTGAGGACCCTAAATAAAATTATGTATTTAACAAGAAAATAAGGGTGATTTTTTTTATTATTTCTTATTTATATATTTTGAATTTAAATTCAAGTGAATCTCAATTTGAACAATATAATATTTCAGGTGGGGTCCAGCCCGTGGTGCTCTTCCGGCGGACTATCCAAAAACGGAGACCTAATCTCCACCGGCGGCGATAAGGACGGCTACAAAGCCATGAGAATTCTGAAACCCTGCGGGGACTGCGATTTCCAAGAAAACCCACGCGCCCTCTTCTCCAACAGATGGTACGCCACCAACCACGCGCTCCCCGACGGCAGTTTCATCGTCGTCGGTGGCCGTGGCTCCTACAACTACGAGATCGTCCCACCGGACACCCTCGAATTCACGGCGAAACTGACGGAGCTCGACTTCCTCGGAGAAACCGAAGACGACGGCGGCCGGGAGAACAACCTCTTCCCCTTCGTCAACCTCCTCCCCGACGGCAATCTCTTCGTCTTCGCCAACTACAAGTCCATTATCCTCAACCCTTACACCGGCGAAACCGTTCGTCAACTCCCCGATCTTCCCGGCGGTTCAAGAAACTACCCGCCTTCCGGTATGTCGGCCCTTCTACCGATTGACCTCGCCGCCGTCGAAGACGGCGGCGAGGAAAACTCTGTCGTTGTTGAAGTTCTCGTTTGCGGTGGCAACACGAGGGAATCGTACAGGTTTTCGGATTTGCTGCGGCCGAGAAAATTCCTTCCGGCGTTCAACGACTGCGGGAGGCTGAGGCTTAGCGGCGGCGCCGCCGCCGAAGAATGGGAGAAGGAGGACATGCCGTCGCCGCGGGTGATGGGTGACATGCTGCTCCTGCCCACCGGCGATGTTTTGATGCTCAACGGGGCGAAGGCGGGGACCTCTGCCTGGAACGCGGCGGCGGAGCCGAATCTAACCCCGGTTCTGTACAGCCCCGACAAGGAGAAGGGTGACAGGTTCCGGGAGCTGGCGGCGTCGGAGATTCCGAGGATGTACCACTCGGTGTCCGCGGTTCTCCCCGACGGGGATATACTCGTCGCCGGGAGCAACACGAACGCGTTCTACATGCTGAAGGAGCACGGCGACCGGTTCACGTTCCCGACGGAGCTGAGGGTGGAGAAGTTCTCGCCGCCGTACATGGCACCGGAGCTGGAACAGTACCGCCTGGAGATAGCGGAGGGGAGATCGGACAAGAAGCTGAGCTACGGCGGCGAGTTCAGCGTCGCGATTGAGTTCGGGAACGGGTTGATCAAGAAGGAGGAGGTGAAGGTGACGATGTACTCGCCGCCGTTCACCACCCATGGCTACTCGATGAACCAGAGGCTGCTGATTCTGAAAGTGAGGGAAGTCGACATTTTGGGGAGGATTACGGTGGTTGCTCCGCCGTCTGGGAAATTTGCTCCGCCAGGGTATTATCTTGTGTTTGTGGTTCACCGTGGGGTTCCAAGCCGTGGAATGTGGGTGCATATTCAGTAGAGAAAAATGGCCTTTTTAATTAATTTTTATAATTAATTGGTTTCTGGTTTTAATTAATTAATTTATTAATTAATTACATTATATTCTCTTGTGCACGATAATAAATTAAATTATAGGGTCTTTCTACCGTGACATCCCAAGAACACGACTTATATGAGATACCCTTTCAGATTGCGACACGTGTCCCCAACAAGACAACTTATTTTTTTATGAAGTCAATTATATTAATTACAATAGCGTATTATATCAAGAATAATCACCATTAAGGTGGTGTTTGCAAATGATTATTTAAAAGCAGAAGTTAGTGATTGTGATTTAAGTTAGTTTTAAGTGCTTATTTCTAAAAGTTGGGGGTGTTTGCAAATATTTCGGAAAATGAACTAAAATTGAAAAAGCAGGGTTATGGGTGCTTTTAAAAAAATAACTTAAAGCAGATTCTTTTAAGAGAAGCAAAAACAAAAGTGATTTTGCAAACACCTTAAAATAGATTATGAGCAAAAAAAACCGCATAATCACTTTCAAAAAGCATTTGCAAACACCACCTAAGACACAACACATAATTAAGAATAAACTAACAATACGAATATATATTACAAAGCTACAATGTATAATGATTATAAAACTTATATAAATAATGTTAAATAAATTATTAAAAATATCTCATATTAACAAATCTTTATATAATATAATTTAAAAATCTAAGGAAATGCTGATTAACTCGTATAATTTAAAAATGAATTTTGAAAGAATTTGAAGTTTGAATTGAATCGTAAATTGTAAGATTAAATTAAATCATAATATTTGAATCTAATTCAAAAACAATATTCAAAGATTTGATCGATTAAGCTCGACTCATTTCAATTCGTAGAAAATATTCAAATAATTGAATCGGTTAAACTCAATAATTTACAATAGCGTATTAATCAAACTATGTATAGTTAAAGTTTAGTATCTTTTTTTATTGAATTTTATCATAAAAATAATAAAATTTAATTCATAAAAATCATAAGATTTAATTGGTTCATGGTTAGATTCAATCTTACGATTTACAATTTGATTCTTACTATTTTACGAATTAAATTATTATTTTTTTGTTAAAATTGAATTAAAAGGATAGTAGACTTTAATTATAAATGGTTAACTCGATTAATACGTTCTTGTCAGTGGTTGAACTCAATCGATTCAATTTTTTGAATAATATTTACAAATTAAAAGGACTTGCACTTAATTGATTCAAATCATACGCTTTAATTAATCTTATTATTGGATTCTTACCTAATTTATGAATTATTTTTTATGAAATTGGATTAAAAATGTATTATACTTGAATTAATAATAGTTAATTTGATTAAGACGTTCTTGTCAATAGTTAAGCGTGCTTAATCGATTCAAATATTTCAATAATGTTTACGAATTGAAAGGACTTGAGCTTAATTGGTTCAAATATTACGCTTTGATAAAATATTACGATTTGCGATTAGGTTCTTACATGTGTTAGGAATTAAATTTATTATTTTTTATGACAAAATTGAATTAAAAAAATATTAAACATTACTTATGATCCGGACAGATTTGTAGAGCCCAATAAAGCAAGGCCCAATCGAGATGGCCCACACTCCAGGAGGAGATAAGACCACATGGGATCTGGGCTTATTTGCCCATTTCATCGGATCTTTATAAATGGCCCAAAACATTGAGCCCACAAGTGTATGCTCAAAGAATATAATACATTGTCAGTAGAGACGAACAAGGAGACCGACGGCGAGCTGGAGAATTGAGAGCTCTTCGACGAGCTGGAGACCTCTAAAACGAGCTAAAGATAGCTCACGAGTGCCAAGTGCCGAGTGCCGAGCCCCGAGCGACGAGCCGACGAGCACCGAGTGACGAGTGCCGAGCCCCGAGCGACGACCCGACGAGCACCGAGTGACGAGTGTCGAGCGCCGAGCGACGAGCCGACGAGCACCGAGTGACGAGTGTCGAGCGTCGAACGACGAGTGCCGAATGTCGAGCGGCAAGCGACGAGCTGAAGGTGCCACCTCATGACTTAAACACTAAGGCATATAAATTAAATATCTTCATAACTTAACCACTAAGACTCATAAAGTTCCATGGACATCAAACGACTCTATTAACCGAATTGGATAAAATGAATGACATCCGAAAATACTCTTCTATAAATAGAGGGTTCATCACCCTCAAGGTAAGCATTCTGAATCTCAACACACCATTTTCTCTCGAATATATTTATCTCTGAATCTTTGAGGTGTTCTAACTTGGGCGTCGGAGTGCTAACGCCGGGAGCACCTCTCCCGGTCCCTTTTGCAGGTTCGTGACGAACAGGCCTAACACGGAACGGACTCGAAGATTCGAGATTCCTTGAAGCGGAAAAACCCAACCGAATCAATTGGCGCCGTCTGTGGGAAATCGAGTTGTAAGACGTTGATTTCCAATTATATACAAATATCAGAGGTTCTTGTGCGTTAGTTCATCATCTGGTTACCGGTCTTGGTCTCGTTTGATGAATTTATTAGATACAGAACATGGAGCTCTCCGAAATTGTAAAGATACATGTGTGTATATAATTTCTCCCCAGCTCAAAATCCGGAGCCTTGGATTTTTAGAATTTCTGGCTCTGCTTTGGAATACGTATTATTGAGTACATAGGGCAAAGTTAATTACACAGATTCTTATTATCTTGTTCGTGAGATTGTCGGACTCAGTTCCCAGCAATGGTGTTCCTAATTGTTCCTCTGATTTACTAAGTTTGGAAAGAAGCATCTTTTTCGTTCTTCCATTCTTCAATATTTCCCTCATTTCATTTCTCTAGAAACAGAAGACGATAATATATGTGTCTCTTACTGGGAGGCCATGTAACCCTCCTCTTCGACTCATGGGCCACCTATTCATGGTCGAGTCACGCTGTCGTGTTACTCGTGGGCCTTCTCGGCACCGTATTTTACTAACCCCTTGAAGCTTTGCGCATCCGTCTCAAGTCTTCGGTCAATACACCTCCGCCGTCGCCCGGTGTTTCCTTGAGGCTGGGGCCGACGGTATTCTTCAAAACGAGCTCAACGATTGATTACCTGATGGGTAGCTACATGATGCACGGAGGTTCAGAATCCAAAATTGGTTGACCGAAATGGAAGCCTTCAGTGTAGAGAAACTATTCGATAAAAGGTCCCAAAGAGCAAACTCTTGGCTGGATACTTTGGCATCCATACACCCAGCACATCAGATTGCAATCGCATAACAAGGAAGTTTTCGAAATTTATGATGTCTTTTCTATGGCGTACGAGTTAATGAATATTATGATTTGTTGATATCATATATATGCGTGCAAGTTTTTATGTCATGAGCATATTAATGGTATAATGAACTCGCATTAGGCGAATAAATGAATTTACCCTACGAGAATGATTCTCAACCCATTTTAGGGTTGGATCTTTATTGCTTGTAAGCATGGGGTTAGAAATTGAATTCCCTTTAAGGCAATTTATGATTTTTTTTTCTGAAAATTGGATTCTGCGGACATTTAGATATATGTTTATTAGAGTTAGATATTTGTAGCTCGATTACCAAGCCAAACTATTGTGCCCGCTGATACTTTCTAGATTAAATCTCAAAGGTGTGATTATACGTGAAAAGATGATCATAATCTGAATGTTCACTCGATTTTGATGAACTATAAATTTGTGAATAGCCTGACTTAAATTTATTTCGCTAGATGTTCGATTTACCTTGCTATTTTGTACAAGCATGTCAACTCGTCGGAGTGAATTTTACTTGATTATCGTATAATGCCTGTTAAATTTGTCATTTTCGTATGATAAGTGACTATATCATGACCATGTTATCGAATTGAATTCTTGAAGTAGCATGATTATTGCAAGTGAGGCTATTTTATGTCAATGCACCTCTTGTTTGCGATTTGATTTCTGTTTTTTGTTTGTTTTTCGTTGGGTGTAGAGTAGAATAACTCGTGAATTATTCTAGAAAGATAGTGACGTGGCGAAATTAATTTTCCTTGAATGAGCTCAGCTTTAATGGGATTTCTTGAAAGAGCTCACGGTGTTGGTCATTTCTCAGACCTGCAAATGTATTGGAGCTAGGCTTTCTTGGGGCTCAGACTCTCTTATCACTGGGAGCGCATGATTTACTTGAAACTCGGATTTTATTCCGCGGTGTTGAAATTCTCAAGAGCTCGCATTTCTCTCATACTGCCTGGATATATATTGAAACCTGATCCCTTTAAACTCAGCTTCTTTCAATGACATTGCGAGAATTTCTTGAAAATCAGTCGTGGGATCGACTAGAATAGAGGTGGCGGTCGAATGTTTCGGCCCTTGTGATTAGCATAAACAAAGTTTAAACCGAAGATACATGCCAGCGACTGAAAGGCTGCTTTCATTGGCGCAAGAGCTCGCAGTCCCATATGTGAGCTCACCATGGTCGGGAAGCTCGATTTGCTGCTCGGCGTCAGAATTTGTTTATTAGTGCGCATTTTTCTCGTCGAAACCGATTTCACCCCTCGAGGCTGGATTCATTTGCAACTCCAAATTGTTGTGCACCATAATTTCACTCATCGGAGACATAATTCGGGAGAGTGTTAGCTGAATGGAATAGAAACTACTAAGTATTGGTAGATGTCCAAAGCAAATGAAAGATATGTCCCCTCTGAACCCGCGCTCAGCCCGTATTTGTAGACACGAGAGCTACGATCCCGAAAGTCCCTAATTATAACACTGTGAGTATTATTTTAATTTTAATTCAGAACGAACGAGCAAATTTATCACAATATTTGTGGATATGATAAACTCTTTAGATGTGTACAATTTCTTGAATAGGGAGGATTATGGGTAGCTTGTTAAATATGAAAATGACCGAACTTAGATAATTCATCTAATCACAGAGACCCTCAAACCCTTGATTTTGACATTGATTAAAGAAAGCATATATTTGATAAAGCATCATGTACAGTAAATATTGTTTGCCCATATGCC